GGTAGTTGCGCTCGAATCCACCATCTATACTCATGGTGCTCTTGGGGCCGATTTACACCTCGAGGGTATTGTCCGGGAGAATGGCGGTGTGCCGGCTATCTGTGGTATCTACAAGGGAGTCCCGACAGTTGGACTCACCTGGGACCGCGAGATACAGCAAATGATCCGGGAAGGTGCCCAAAAGGTATCGAGAAGAGACCTGGCCATGCTGATTGGTATGGTGAGTAACAATCGTACACAGACGCTCATGAACTAGTCAATCTGCAGTTCAGCTGACATGTCCCTCTAGGCTCTAGGAGGAGGTCCTAGGCTTCATGGCGGCACTACCATTGCCGGAACCATGATACTGGCTCGACTGGCAGGCATTCGTGTGTTTGGTACTGGAGGTCTTGGAGGAGTTCACCGTGGGGGAGAGAGCTCGATGGACATCTCGGCTGACCTGACCGAGCTTGGAAAGACGCGTGTGGCCGTGGTCAGCAGTGGCTGCAAGGGTTTCCTTGACATCCCACGGACGCTCGAGTACTTGGAAACTCAGGGTGTTGTTGTGTCCACCTTCAGGCAAAACCGACCCGATCCCATCGATTTTCCAGCATTTTGGGCCCAGTCTAGTGGCGTAAGGAGTCCGTCCGTGGTGCAGGATCCACGCCAGGCTGCTGCTGCCATCTTTGCTCAGGAGCAGCTCGGCCTGGAAGCAGGATTGCTGTTTGCAAATCCAGTGCCTACCGAGTATGCCATTCCAAGTGACCAGATGGCAGGCATCATCGACCGCGCTGTGCGAGAGGCTACCGCGGAGGGCCACACGGGCAGCAGGAACACCCCAGCTGTCCTGAAAAAGATTACAGAATATACAGATGGTCTTGCCACGAAAGCCAACATCAAACTTGTCCAGGACAACGTTAGAATGGCCACTCTGGTCGCGGTCGAGCTCTCCAAGTTCCTGGAAAAGTAGGAGGCAAGATAGACCCGGGCCACTTGGGCAACAGCTGGCTGACTCGCAGTAGGTCGCATCGGGGACAGCGCCCAGTCCAGCCCGGCAGGAAAGCCCAGCATAAATCCGCAGTCCAGCCTTATGTGACAGAACATCCTCCTCAAACCGCAACTCAATCTAAGACTCCTACAGCTCCCGTACAATACCAATCAAGTGAAGCTCACGTAAAAATTTCCGGCACAACAAAACCGCCGGAATATGATAGCGAGGTTGCGGTAGCCGGATCTGTTGCCATAGACTTGAGCTGTGATTTCAAAGGCACAGAAAGCAAAGGTCAGGCCGAACTGCCCAAGCTTCACACCTCCAATCCTGCCACTATGACACAGTCCGTCGGAGGCGTCGGTCACAACGTTGCGGTCGCCACATACCGCGCCGCAGGACTCGATATACCGACCGAAGAACATAAGACGAGAGTCCGATTGTTCACCTTCGTCGGGGCTGATGACAGGTTAGCGATCCCTTCCTTCCTCTTTACCATGTCTTGTCCGTGACACCAGAGTTTGGCAACGACGCACTGCCAACGAGTGTGAGCGCGTGCTGACACTATCCGCAGTGCTACCGATGCAGTCAGAACGAAACTCGCAGCCTACGAGGGTTTGAGTAAGAGCTTGATATCACTTAAAGGTCGTAGTACAGCACGATATGTCTCGGTCAATGACAGTAAAAAGAATCTGATGCTAGCTATGGCCGACATGGACATTTACGACTCCGTCTCCGATCATCCGCCAAGGATATTCTTCAAGCGGCCATCTACCCGCAAATACCTCGTTGTTGACGCGAACTGGTCCAGCACAGGTATCAGCTCTCTCCTGCAACAGGGGCGCAAGCTCGGCGCTACTCGCATCTTCGAACCGGTCTCGGTCGCCAAGTCAGAGCGCCTCTTCCCCGTGGGGAAGCGATTGAGCGTGTTTCCGCATGCCGATGTCGAGATGGCCACGCCCAACGTGCACGAGCTGAAGACCATGTGGGAGACGGCCCGGAGCGGAGAATACTTTGCGAGGGATGACTGGTTTGCATTTATCGACCAACTCGACATTGGCGGTGGAGGCGCGACGGATCGCTTTGTGAGGGTCTCGTCTATTGCTATCACCAACGAGGGCATACCTCAGCAGTGTATGCAGCTGTTACCATTCATCCCCACGTTAGTGGTCACCTTGGGTGATCAAGGGGTTCTCCTAGCTGAAGTTTTGAGACCCGATGACTTGCGTCTCAAGGACCAAGAGCATGCGAAGTATGTTGTTGCTCGGAACAAGACGGAAGACCCAAAGTTCGGAGGCATCTACATGCGTCTGTACCCTGCTGTCGCCAAAGTCGAGGACGTGGTTAGTGTCAACGGCGCCGGTGACACCTTCCTGGGCGTGCTGGTGGCTGGGTTGGCTATGAACGTGCCCCTCTATAAGGCCATCAACATAGCGCAGACGGGAGCCATCATGACGCTCCGGAGCAAGGAACCTGTCTCACCGGAACTCAACAAAGTATATTGGGTTTTGCAGGAAAATGGGCTCCAGACATCGACACAAGTAACTGAGCAGGCGCAGGAGGACCAGGCTTTGGTCAAGGAAGAGGAGCTTGAAGAGGTACTGATCTCACTGGAGGAGGAAGATGAAGCCTCAACGCAGGACCAGGTCGTCCAACAGCCTGAGGTGGACACGTGTACCGCTACCAAACCTTTGAGCCAGATTCCCCTTACAACCGACGAGCAGTGGGGAGTGGCTTCGGAAGTGGCACCGGTTGTCAAGAAGCCTGAGCTCACGAAGGACTTGCCCGTGGAGCAACCGAGCAACAACGACAGATCGTCGTACACTGGGATCGAAGAACGGTGGGGAGATGCGGAGGAGGTGACTCCAGTATTCAAAGGCGAGAGACGCTTTCATGAGAGAAAGCCTGTTGTCAGACGGGAAGAGCCGCAGCAGGCTGAACAGGAGGAACGGCCATGGGGAACGTTCACCGGAGGCAAGAAGGCGGAAGGGTCATAGAGGGGACATCAATGGATGTGCCGCGAAAGTCTGTGTTTGTCGACTGAGATCTAATCTTGGGAAATGCTGGATATGTCTCACGGATTTGGAAATCGTTTGCAAGTGGTTGGTCGGATCATAGTGGCGGAATCGGGGTATAACGGCCCTTGTCTTGATGGAACAGCCGCACAGTGGTCAATATGAGTGAGGATCCCCTGCGACGTTGATACTGTCTCTCTGGGACCAATCAGATAAACATATGTGGAAATTCGAAAAGAAGCTGGCAGTGGAAGCTGTATCTGTCTCCTGACCGGGTTCAAGCGCGCTGGATTCTATAATGTGTGAGGTTGGCCTGCTTCTGTCTAGGCATCCTCTAACAACAACGAAGGAAAAGTGGCTATGTGCCTCATTACATCGCAAGCAACTTCAGAACTTACCATATCAACTGTGTAGGATGCTCGGTTTCTGTTTCTCATATTACTTGGTCGCTGACTTTGACGCCGTGGTAGTCAAATAGCGCCGGATCCCGTCTCAACCAGAACCTGTCCGGCCTCATCACCACCACCATTTCCCCGGCTGATATATGGTTCACATCGGCCCAGTCTGGTAGTCATGGCATATATGTTACTTTCCAAAAGCTGCGAGGTCTAGGTAGGCATGGTAGGAGTGTCCAGTGACTGGGTTCTGCTGTTATACGGAGTCTGCTTCAAAGGCTTCCTCACCCACCACTCTCTGGGCTGCTTTCGCTCCGAGACAGACAACAAAGCGGCTGTCCATATTCTCTTGTTCACGCTTCAAACAAGCTTATCTTTTCGACGGCCGATGAGGAGACCTATTGTCCTTCGTGACAGTTTGTCAAGTCTCACATAGCTTCAAGTTCTTTCTATCAGAAACCACACCAAAGCTTCACTACACGATTGTATCCGGGGGACAAAGCAGAGCGGCTGGCTACCGATAACCGTTAACACTATATAACTAGACATTCTGCCTGCTCGTATTCTCTTGCTCTCTTTTTCCTTCTCCATCATCCTCTTCGCTTGCCCATCAGACCACAACCCCTTAGCAAGACACACCAAGGCAGCATCACAACCTATTTCATATCTCCATCAGACTCTCGTGCTAGAACACCATCTAAGCCAAGCACCATGGCTTCTTTCTCCACCCCACCCCAGACTCATCACCTTGAGAACCAAGAGACTTCCGAGGCTGACCTCGCTCTTCGAGGTCGAGGCAAGGTCGGACGTTCGGGCAAGGTTCGCACACAGGACCTCCATGCTCAACGGCTTGATAAGGCTGCCTACAAGTTCCGGGCAGCTGAGTCGGATTCACCGGTGGAGACATTGGTGGACAAAGCTGAGGAAGCCGTACCGATTTGTTGCACCAATACGATTTGTACTCGGCACAAGCCGAAGGTCGTAGAGCCCAAACTTGGGGAGTTCGAAGACTACAAGGGGCATATGAGCGTCATTGGAACGCTCCGTCACTAAAGCGAGTAAGGCAGCTGCGTAGTACGCCGCCGGGAACGCAGGTGAGAAATGGTGGCAGTCCACCCTAGACTGTGCTGTAAAAACATTGGGCTTCATCCCTCGGTTCGGTGAGTTGAATTGATAGGCTGAGGACTGGCATATAGATTGGATATCCCAACACATAGTGATGACATGCAACATAACAGCACTGTATCTTGTACATTCTTAGTCGCAGAATGAATCAATCCAGAAAGATCATGATAACTCTCCCAGTCCATCAGGCAGCCAACACCGGACACGAATCGGACTTGCGAGGCTCTCTCTTATGGCAATAACTTCCACTGCCCTTGATTTCTCCGATGCACTCATTATGTTGAGTAAGTAACTTATACGTCATCCACTGCGAACCCTTGATCTTTAGCTGCCAGCACTTCCCACACTCTTTATGCCCGTACCTGCATAAGGTATCCATCCCTCAAACGGCCAAGCCACCCCTCTCGTCTGAACTATGCAGGCTTCGACCACAGACATGCAGGCCTGAGGCCATATATCATCCAGAATCCAACTTCATATTGCTAATAAGAGCAGAAAGCCCACTTGGCTCAGTGGTAGAGCGTGTCGCCAATGCCGTCCCTAAGAAATACCTTTAGAACAGCGTCTGGTTCACGACAAGATCATCAGTTCGATTCTGATAGTGGGTATAGTCCTTTTTGCATTTGCTGCCCACCATTCTGGGAGAATATAACACACTATGGACATGAATGCTACGTTGGTTACTCTTTCGCTACACGAAGCTTGCAGTGACATAGTCACCAGGTTGGTACATGAAAGTGGCAGGCACGTATCGTTGGATGTTATACGCCGTATCACAATATAGAGAGGTAATAACCACCAACTGGATGTGCAGAGTCTTATATTTGAAAAGTGACGAGTGCCAAAGAGACATGCATTGGGTCGTCGCATGAGAGTTGTAAGCCCCTTGCGAAACGGGCCATGTCTTTGTCTGTAGGCCGCACCATATCGACTAAGTCGAATCATCACAAGCAATACATTACGGAGCCTGGAACAAGTAAAAGAGAGTTTGGGATAACACTTCTGGGTCAGAGAATCCTACTTGAAAAGCCACTGTAACCTACCTACCCTGAATGTTCTGTTTATGCTCATACTACAGTACAACGTAGAAGACTGCCACGTTGCTACTTATTGTTCCCTCTGTTTGCCTGGCCTGGTCAATGATATCTATCCTGAAACACACAGCGAGATCACCAAGAATGTGCTTCTATCCTGACCCTGCTTCCAGTACCAAGATGTCTACTTCTCACTGAGCTGAACAGTACTACACATCATCAAGTTGCCTCCTTTTCGGGCTTGGTGTCAGGATCATCCAGCTGCTGTCCATATACAGCTTCGTAAAAGTCGTCAGGATCACCATCCTCCACATCCTCACCTTCAAAGCCTACGCCATCTGTGGTCTGCGTTACGTCTTCTTCATCCTGGATTTGATGACAGAGAGTGTTATCCCTTGATTCTTCGACCGAGTTAGGTCCGATGATATCTCGAGGCTGGGGAAACTTCCTTAGGCGCTTGTCCTTGGCATCTTGTCCTGCTCGCATCTGTTGAGCCTTCTTTCGACCCAGCTTGGAGTTATCGTCCTTACCCATGATGGGAATGGGGCTTGTGGAATGGTCAACGGTGGGCGGAGTGTTTGAAGTAATTTCAAGTTCAGTACTGAGTCAAGAGGAAGATGGCGGTGCCGGGTTCTAATACTTGGTACCAGTTGAGGTTGGCTTTTGCTCCCGAGGGTTCAGTTATAAGGAGAGGGGGATACGGCAGAGAACGTAGAAATCAACGTCTTAATATACCTTCAGTTCAGAGCAGTCTCCCATATCCTTTCTTCACGACACCATTGTGGTTGTCGATCTCACCGAACACCGCCTCAACGAGAAGAACCTTAAAGGACACTCTGCACATATTGTAGTACCCAAGAAAAAACCAAGAGACCGTCGACGGAACAAGGGGTCTTGTGCTTGGTGTGGTAGGTTACGTGTAGTCCTCTGTTCCTTGTCGAAGCCTCTGCCTGAAAGATATGATCTGTCAACCTGAACGTACTAGTAGGGTTGGCCTTCAACCTCCCGTATCGGCAACAAACCCATTGTCAGACAACAGTAAATGGAAGAGGCTCTTTGATCTTGGGGCTTGACTGCGCTTGACACAGAGGCTCTTTACCTCTTACAGTATGAGCTGGCCAGAATGCCGGCTGATATGGCGACTCAGATTGTCTATATCAAGGACAGTCCGACTCAGCCCCTGAACCTCGAATATCAACTCCTCACTGCTCGCCTTGATAGAGATTCAAACTTGTCTTCGTGCCAGTATAGCTCACCTGATTCGACTGTTGTTAATTCTCCATCAGCGGTTATTCAGTGCCGACCTCACACCGTCAACACATTGCACTTCGTCACATCGACTGTAGAGCTGGCAGCAGCAACCGACACAACGTTCTGTACAAGAACCACCGCTACAATGTCCATGATTAGTACTATCCACGGTGAGGAGCGGAGCATTTCCGGCGACGGCCCGGATGCATTCGAAGACGGTCCTGTCATGCCGCCCAAGACAAGCCAGGACAAAAGGGGCACCAAAGTCCGGGATCTTATCAAGAAGCAGCTGCACTTGGAGAAGTCTGCTAGGAATCAGGTATGGCCTCAGTCTCATGACATGATTTTCTCCGAACAAGGCAACCGGAGAAGCTAACGATGCTGATGCTCGTTTTTGCAAGCACAACCGGGCTGGTAAAGCACAATCACTCTCAGAAGCGGAGGACAGAAACGCCCTGTATATGGCGTATGATGATATCATGAGGCCAGCCGCGCAACCTCTTTCGGCCTTGCGGCAAAAGTAAGCAATCCGTTCGATTGCCCGCTGCGCCTAGAATCGAACGGTAGTACTGCGGTTGCCCTGGCTGTGGAACTGACTGCATTACTGGCTCTCTAAGTTGCGTGGTTGAATGTCCTTAGGTAAGGAGGGTTAGCTGCTTATATCACTGCCGACCTACTGTTAGAGAATTAATGTCTGCCTCAGGGTTTTCGTTCCCAGTATCGTACCTAGGGTGTGTGTGTGTGAATGGCCACGGTACCTGCTTGGCGGGGTAAAGACCAGGGTCATGTCGTGCTGTAAGGGCCAAGGCAGGGGAGCGCGCCTCCTCCAAACTTTCCATGTTGAAGGATTGCTTGCGATGCCGGCATGGATCCGGATGCACTCTCGTTTCCACGGGCTATCAAGGTGGGCGTATATGACTCTCGCGTATATATCCCTGTGCGAGATCATACTAACGTCTCTTAGTTTCGGCTTGGGCGAAGCACAGTTTCCGCCATAGCTGAATCTCCTTACGAGTCAAAACATCAACACGTCATCCGCTTGACCATCTTACGCGGTATATGGCAGCGGAGACTCATTGCATTTATCACCAAACTGCCCGCTAGCATCCGGACGTTTATCACTAAAATGTGGCCGGGCTGGTCTCTCCCAAAGACGGTCGTCCTGAAGAAGCTGAAACCTGACTGGGACGAAGAGTTTGAATCGGAAAAGGAGGCGTACAAGAGAGTGAAGCCGTTACAGGGTGACCTGATCCCCGTATTCTATGGTGAGGCACAGTGTGAGGGGACTCGTGCCTTCATTCTGTCGGAAGTGGACGGTGTCGTTTCGTACATGCAGAGCAAGCCTCCCTTACCAAGCGCAGAGTTCGAGAGACGCATCGAAGCAATTTACCAGAAGCTTGGTGTTTTTAAGTTCTCCTACGAGGATGCAAATCTGGGGAATATTCTCTTGACTAGGGACGGAGCAATGCTGGTCGATCTGGAGTCGGCGTGGGAGCCGGAACCCGGGGACTTGGAGTTTGCGACGGAATGCGCCATACAGCAGTTCATGCGGCAATACAGCTATTACCTGAACAGTCTTGACGATAAGTGGTAGTTATAGGCGAGCAGCCGGTATGTCATGTTGAATGGGATCCAATTGCGGAGTATCGGAAGCAAATGTGGTCCTTGACCTATGCGTATTCATCCTCATGGTAGCATCTTAAGCTCTCAAAATCCGTAATAGTCATCGAGGAGAATCCTGTGCATTGCTCTGAAGCAGCGCCATTCGGGCTCGAGTCGACGCCTAAGCTACTAAACGAACTCCGTTTGCGTCGATATGCTAGTGGAAACCGACGGCAATCACCCAGCCATGGTTGCCCATGGGGAAACTTCAGGGCAGAGTAAATACAGATCGCAGTTAGTGGACTCTCTTGGCTAAGGTACCCTCCACTAGGTGGATCGCGGTGGATCAGCGGCTCCGACGGGCGGCCCCGGTCAACCCCGGCTTACCCCAACCTTGTCATCGCTTTCCCGAACTTGAACCCTCGGATGTCGTCACCGTCGTTTCCACATGCAACATGGGCAGCACTTCCACGCCACAGAGGCTCAACACTACAGACGAGCTTGAAAATACCATCAGTGCTTCTGAGGTCGACACCATCATTCAGACTGTCCAACAAGCTGCAAAAGTAGATATTGGCACGGGAGAGAGAGAGGAGGAGGAGGACTGGCAAGCTTCGTACTACTGGGATGCATCGACTATGTCGCCGTTTAATGCAGCTTCGTTGGTTAGTGGTGTCCAAGTGCAATCCATGCCCTGCTTGAATCATATCGCTCACGACAAACCTCAAGGCTGCTATTGCCCGGCTGAGAGCCTATAAACCTCCTGCTTTTCCATTATGGGATCGACTACCCGCCAACCGACGGGCCGCCGTCCTGTTACTGCTGTATGCGGACCGCAAGGGTGACTTGAGGGTGGTCATAACCATGCGGGCCGCAGGTCTACGGAACTTCTCGGGTCAGTTATGATCTCTCCACCACTCACATGGTACCTGATTGAAGCAGCGAACTGACCTGAGGGTAGGACATGCTGCACTGCCCGGCGGCAAGGCAGACGACACAAAAGAAACACCATGTATGATTCAATCTCATTCTTCAGACATTGTTCCCAGCGTGGCCCCTGACATTTCGCCAGATCAAATCGCCCGGCGGGAGGCCTGGGAAGAGATAGGCCTGCCCATGGACGACAACAGACTGCCCGCACCCTTCAAAATAGAGCATCTATGTGACCTCCCTTTTAATCTGGCCAGAACTGAATTGGCGGTTCGGCCTTGTGTCGCCCTCCTACACACCAACAGACCACCAGTGCCGACGGATGCCGTATCCGCCTCTGCCAGCACCACCCGCCCTCGGCCAACAGCGGAGGAGTCGCTCATCCCGCGTCTGGATGCGAAAGAAGTAGCAGCCGTCTTCTCCGCCCCCTTCCACAACTTCCTCAGATCGGAAGACGAAGTCGACCTCTACCGCGAGGGTCGCAAGCCGCTGACCTTGCCACCGGGGAAGTGGTATGAGGGTTATTGGTCAAACTGGCATGAGCACCCGTGGAGGGTTCACTTCTTCTATGTGCCGGTGGTACACCAGCATGTCGCCAAACCCTTTGTTAGAGAGGGTGGGTTAGCGGCCATTTCCGAGGAGGAGCCCGAGCAAGACCCTGGTCGATATAAAGTCTGGGGTATGACGGCAAGGATATTGGTCGATGCCGCCAAGATTGCATACGCTGAAATGCCGGACTTCGAGCATAATAAGCATGCTGGAGACGAGGAAATCATTATGCAGTTGGAAGA